GATTTTACCACCGCCTTAATCTGATGTTCAAACTTCAGATGACAGTCCACTTTGACCCCCAGGTTGGTGACAGTTGGCTTAACAAACTGGGCCAAGGAATCTACAAACACATTGGGTGTCTCAGTAGGACTACCAAAAATCATCACCTCAGTCTTTTTATCATTGAATTTTAAAAAGTTCACAGACATCCAAGCCTTTAAGTCGTCAAGACACTGTAGTAATGGCTGTATGAGGCTTCTGCCTTTTTTCTTTAGAGGGACATAGATCTGACAGTCGTCAGCATACAAGTGGAAGGCAATGCCGTGCTTTCTCAATATAGAGCCGAGAGGAAGAAGATACAAAGAGAAGAGGAGGGGGCCCAGAACTGAGCCCTGCGGGACACCACACAAGAGCGGAGCGGAGGACGACACATAGTCACCGAGACTGACACAAAATGTTTGCCCCGCCAAATAGGACCTGAACAACTCCAGAGCTGTGCCTCTAATGCCCACCCAGTGCTCTAAACGAGAGAATAAAACGGCATGATCCACAGTATCAAAAGCAGCTGTTTAATCTAAAAGCACAAGAACAACACAGTCCCCAGCATCAGTAGCTAAGAATATGTCATTAAAAACTTTTAAAAGGGCTGATTCGGTGCTATGAAAGGGTTTAAAACCAGATTGGAAAACCTCTAATAAATTTTGATTTTCCAGGAAGGCCAATATTTGGCTATGAACTACCTTTTCAAGAATTTTAGAAAGAAAAGGTAGTTTGGAGATAGGCCTGTAATTCGCAAGATCCTGCGGATGAAGAGCAGGTTTTTTAATCAGAGGTTTGACTACTGCATGTTTAAAATCTTTAGGGACAACGCCTGACATCAGACTATGGTTTACCAGCTCAAGAACCAAAGGACCAACTGTAGGTAACACCTCTTTTAAAAGTCGAGGAGGAACAGCATCATTTGGAGACCCTGCAGGCTTAAGATGACCAACAGTCTCCTGTAGGGATGGCAGAGTCACAGGCTCAAACCTGTCAAAGACAGCAGAGCAGGAAACAACGACTGAGGGGTCATGAGCACAAGGACAGATTTGAGCCCTTGTGGAGGAGACCTTCTCAATAAAGAAGAGTAACAAATTTTCACAGGCTTCTAATGAGGGCTCGATACAGTCAGCATATGGTGCACTAAGAACAGAGTTAATAGTTTTAAATAAAACACGCGGGTTGTGGCAGTTAGACAAAATAATGTCCGAAAAGTGTTTTCTTTTGGCCTCTTTCACAGTTCTTTGATACTGACGCCAACAGTCCTTCAGCATCTGAAATGGCACCTGTAGTTCGTCCTTTTTCCATTTGCGCTCAGCTCGACGGCAATCGCGTCTGAAAGCTCGTGTCATTTCGTTCAGCCAAGGCTCAGATTTGGTTTTAGGCCGCCTGGTTTTTAATGGAGCCACAGTGTCCAAAGCAGTCCGACAGGTGGAATCAAACCAAGAGCTCAGTTCCTCAGTCTGGCTGCATAAAAAATCCGGGATCTTACAAATCGGGTTAAAGACTGTTGAAAAGTGTTCAGCAGTGGAGGAGTTAAAAACACGTCTGCGCTGAGCAACAGCGCGAGGTTTAACTGAGGCACATACAAGAGGAACATCAAACATCTCAGGACTGTGGTCAGAAAACACAGCATCACAAATCTCTGTTAAAACTAGGGAAGCCATGAGATAAAACATGATCGCGTGTGTGTCCACGTTCATGTGTGGGACCTGCCACACATTGCACCAGATTAAACGAATCAATGAGGTTTAAAAAGCCCCTCGCCATGGGCATATCAGGACTACACACGTGAATATTAAAATCCCCAACAAGAAGAATACGATCATATTTTGGCATGAATTTAGCCAAAAAGTCAGCAAAATCATCCAAAAAGTCCTTATTGTATTTAGGAGGCCGATAAACCACCGCACACAACACTGTGTGAGCGCAGCCCAGCTCAAACACAGACAGTTCAAAGCTGGTAAGCGATGGGACCAGCAGCTGTTTACATCCAAAATGACTTTTAAAGATAGTGGCTATTCCTCCTCCTCAGCCCAACAAACGTGGGGAATTTAAATAGCAGCAATCGCCAGGTAGAAGATCTGAGAAGATGTCACACTCACCGGCGCTCAGCCACGTCTCGCACACACAGAGAAAATCCAGTCCTCGGGATGCAAAAAAATCCTTCAAAATAAATGTTTTATTCGTTAGAGACCTAGCATTTACCAGGCCAAACCTGGCAGTAAGCGGCGGGTCCCCGTCACTAGAAGCCCGACACAGAGGCCGCAGGTTACGCAGATTCACACCACGCCGGCGGGGACAAGGAGAGCAGGGTTTTCGGGACTGGGACGTCCCATCCAGGCCGAAGACAGGTACCAGCCAGGCACAGACAGGATCCAACGATCGTCGAGAGAAGCAGAGGTTTGGCACCGCTCCTTGTTTTCTAAATAAGGGCTTGTGAGAATACCCTAAAGAAGCTTTCAGCTTCACCAGGAAGCTGGCCCGGTGACCCCGGCGACGGCACTTATGCCGGAGTGGTGGATCTGGAACACGGCACAGGTGATCCGGGATCTCCGATAGTAGCGGGGGCAGAGTTTTATGTCCAGCTTGGTTCCATTTTGCCCAGCCTTTGGCTGAAGGTCGGAGATCCAGTAGGGGTAGGCGATCATATACCAAGAGAGAGTTGGCATTTCCTACAATAGTCAATAAAATCAAAACAAACAAACATAACACTGGTAGTGACAGACAGCAAGCCACGCACACCGGCGCCATCTTTACACACACACATATTACATTCAGTTGATTGAGTCTATGATCAAGAATTAATAAACATAAATTTTTCCACAAGCTGGAATGAATACATGTTCATGTCCAATCCAAGATTCATGCAGAAAATAATTTAGATGTCATGTGCTTTTGTGGAAAAAATGTTTGACACGTCTCATCTCTGCACCCATTGATGGAGACAGGGACTGTAGAAAGGCATTCAAATTACAAGACACAGTTAAGAGCCAAGTTAACAGACACGTGTGTGTGTGTGCGTGTACACATATATGTATATTTATATATAAATAAATATGTCCCCAAGCTCATATATATATATATATATATATATACACACACACACACACACACACACACACACACACACACACACACACACACACACACACACACACACACACACACACACACACACACAAAACCAGCAACCGTGTTCGTCTTCAAATGACATATTGGTGTATTAGAGGAACAGCTGACTGTCGGGGTGTCTTGAAACCAGCTCGTTCCAGTCAGGCGGGCTGATATTTGTTTAATATGATGTAAACATGACATTTAACATCAATGTCTAATGTGTTTGGCACTTTATGAAGCACATGAAAAAAATTGTAATCCAGAAGGATAAAGGTAACTCTGAACTTCCTGTTGACATCATGGGCTTTACATGTTTCTATTAAAGAAGAGGTATCTTTAATTTGCCTATCAGTTCCTATTTCCTGTTTAGTATTCCTCCCCATCCTTACCAACCTGAGACGGGACGCTTTTCTCTAATTGGTTCACTGACCCATTAAATTAGCAGTCTGGTTATGAAAAGATGACTGATCTCTTCTAAGGCAATGACTTCTCTTGGAAGCTGTTGCAAAAGATAAAACATCAGAAGCTGTGCGGTGACAAAGGACAGGCAGAGTGAAAGCTGACACATGTTTTAGGGGCTGTCTTCTTTAAAAGGGACAATGTACAAACTTGGACACAACTTAAGAGTGTTGACCTGTGTCTGCCCTCGCAGACAGAATGGTTAACATAGGACAAGTCATGAATTGTGACCAGAATACAACAAGATTGTATTATTTGTATTAACAGTTTCAGTCTAAATCTGAGACATGATCTTGAGCTAGAAAATGGTAGGATGGCTTGTCCGAGTCGGGGACGAGGTCCTGCCCCAAGGGGAGGATTTTAAGTATCTCGAGGTCTTGTTCACGAGTGAGGGAAAGATGGAGCTTGAGATCTATAGGTGTACTGGTGCTGCGTCTGCAGTGATGCGGGCGTGGTGGATAGAGAGCTGAGCCAGAAGGCAAAGCTCTTGATTTTCCAGTCGATCTACGTTCCGACTCTCACCTATGATCACGAGCTTTGGGTAGTTACCGAAAGAATCGAGGATTCAAGTGGCTGAAATTAGTTTTCTCCGCACGGTGGCTGGGCTCTCCCATAGAGGTAGGATGAGAAACTCAGTAATCTGGGAGGGGCTTGGAGTAGATCAGCAGCCCGTCCACATCGAGAGGAGCCAGTTCAGGTGGCTTGGGCATCTAGTTAGGATGCCTCCTGGACGCCTTCCTTGTGAAGTTTTCTGAGCACGTCCAACGGGGAGGAGGCCTAAGGGAAGTCCCAGGACACGCTGAAGAGACCACGTCTCACGGCTGGCCAGGGAACGCCTCGGGATTCCCCAAGTGGCTGGGGAGAGGGAAGTCTGGGCCTCCCTGCTCAGCCTGCTTCTTCTGTTGTTTGATAGTTAACACAAAATGTTTAAAGGGTAATTCACCCGCCACCTGCTGTAGAAGTCTGGCATACCCAGCCTCCAAGCTTTATGCTGCTGCTCAATGCCTTGTTTTCTGTTCTCTGTGTATTTTTGGCAGAGTTACTGCAGAGTTTTGGGACATTTTTGGTGTTTTCATGCCAATGAAGATGTTTCTAGAAGCAATGCTATGTTCAAAAGGATATTTTTAGAAACAAAAAACAAAAGATCATTTGGGAAAGACATTTATGTTCTGTGTGGACAACCAAACTTCTCGTTGGAGTGGAACTACTCTACTCTTATTTCTGGAAAAGTTTAAGCTTTGATGGAGACAATCCCTAAATGTGTCACTGGTCAAGCCGAGCATCTCAGACAACACAGCCCTCCTCATTTGGCCACAAATTTTGCATCCTGCATGATAATTAGATATGGCTCCCTTTCCTTTTCCTCCTTTCTCCCCCATCCTTCCGTCCTTTATCCTCTTCCTCAGTAGACTCAGCTTCAGGAGAAGAGTGGTCAGAGTGGAGTATGTGTTCTGCAACGTGTGGGGAGGGCTGGCAGAGTCGCACTCGTGTCTGTGTGTCCTCCTCCTACAGCACCCAGTGTAGTGGGCCACTGCGAGAGCAGAGACCTTGCAACAACTCAGCTGTTTGCGCAGGTAAGCCCCCCCCCCCCCCATTTCCCCTCAAGACCTCTCTTGTTCTCCTCCAACATCTGCCTCGCCCTACCTCACCCGTAGAGGACTGAACTGCCTCTCGTCTTCACGTAGATATTCTGACCTGGCCTTGAAAAGGACATTTGCCTGTTTAAAGTTACAGTCCCATCAGTACTGATGTGTGTGTGTGTTACATTTGTTCTCCACATTTGACCCATCCCCTGGGGAAGCGGTGAGCTGCAGACACGGCTGCGCTCGGGAACCGTTTGGTGGTTTAACGCCCAATCCAAATGCTGAGTGTCAAGCAGGGAGGCGTTGGGTCCCATTTTTCTAAGTCTGACCCAACCAGGAATCGAACCCTGATCTCAGGGCGGACACTCTACCACTAGGCCACTGAGCTGGTTTACTCCCAGTGCAGATGTTATTCAGGCTCTTAAACTCACAGACAGGAAATGGAAATTCTAATGAAGCGACCTATCATCAGGGTGTTCTCTGGGACTAATGGATGCTTTACCTTTAACATTTCCAGGAAGTAGTTGTGTGGGAGGTTTCCTGTCTTATGAGTTACACTTAGGCTGCTTGTTTTTCAGTGCATGGTGCGTGGGATGAATGGTCACCATGGAGCTTGTGTTCGTCCACCTGTGGTCGAGGTTTCAGGTCCCGAACGCGAACTTGTACACCCCCACAGTTTGGAGGTGATCCCTGTGATGGACCAGAGAAACAGACCAAATTCTGCAACATAGCTCTCTGTCCATGTGAGTAGCCCACATCCACCCAAAAATAAACGACTCCATGCTGCCTGGTAACCTCAGGCTGCTGCAGACTATATTTCAGTCTGTAGTCGAAGTTACTGACAAAAGGTTAACATTTAATAGTGACTTGAAGTGTCTAGACTTCATTTTAAACGTTGACTTTTGACGGTGACATTATCTAAAACTCTGATGAAATCTAGCTGTTGATTTTTGATGTATTACTATAGAAATCTTTCTGCAATGCTTTAGTCAAAACTTTTAAGGTTCATCTGCCCAACTACTGACATCCAATTAGAACACTTCACAACAAAATAAATCATTAGTTATAGTTTATTAGATTTGATCCGGTAGTTGGCCGTTTATGTGCATTGTCTCTGCTGTGGTTCTCAGCGGATGGAGTCTGGAATGAGTGGTCTGCCTGGAATCCCTGCTCTTCCTCCTGTTCCAACGGGACCATGCAGAGAACCAGGGAATGCATCGGCCCCTCCTACGGAGGCTCCGAGTGCACGGGAGAGTCGCAGGAGACCGTGAGCTGCTTTCTCGGGGAGTGTCCTGGTATGACAACAACACATCTTAAAAGAACGGGGTTTGTCCCCTTTAGGTCTCAGTTGTTACGGTTTCCGTTATTACTCCCCAACGTTCATTAGGTTCAGAATTTCATTCTGGTTATTAAGGACAGTAATTGAAGTTTGTTGTCTTTACTTGGTTCTAAAGATTTAAATCTGTCAGTCAAGTTTTATTTACAGTTTATTCATTTGTATTGGTTTTATTTTGTTTTGAACTGATTTACCTGTGCTGTGTTGAGCTGCTGCAACAGAATTATGTCCCTGTACACTCACGGTTCCGTGAATAACAATAAATGAATCTGATCTGATTTACTCGTCTAGTTGATGGAAAGTGGCAGCCGTGGTCCTTGTGGTCTGGCTGCTCCAAAACCTGTGGAGGGGGGAAGCAGCAGAGAAACAGGGTATGCTATGGGCCTTTTTTTGAAGGAAAACCTTGTCCAGGAGATCGAGAAGAGGTCCGTCAATGTAATGAAAAGAGGTGTCCAGGTCAGTGAGAGGGGACACCACAGGTGCTGGTCATGAAATTAGAATATCATGACCAGGTTGATTTATTTCAGTAATTCCATTCAAAAAGTGAAACTTGTATATTACATTCATTCATCCCACACAGACTGATATATTTCTAATGTTTATTTCTGTAATATTGATGATTATAACTGACACCTGATGAAAATCACAGATTTCAATATCTCAGAATATTAGAATATAAATTAAGACCAATGCAAAAGAAGCATTTTAGAGATGTGAGCCAACTGACGAGTACGAACATGTACCACACTCAGTATTTAGTTGGGGCTCCTTTGGCCTGGATGACAGCAGCAACACGGCATGGCGGGGAGTCTCTGGCACTGCTCAGGTGTTATGAGAGCCCATGTTGCTCTGATAGTGGCCTTTAGTTCATCTGAATTGTTGAGTCAGGTGTATTGCATCTTCATCTTCACAATACCCCTTACATTCTTCATGGGGTTAAGATCATGCCAGTATGCTGGCCACTGAAGGACTGCGATACCATGGTCCTTAAACCAGGTACTGGTAGCTTTGGCACTGTGTGCAGGTGTGAAGCCAATAAAGTTGTTCAGCAGCAGGAAGCATGAAATGCTCTAAAACTTCCTGGTAGACGGCTGCGTTGACATTTGACCTCAGAAAACACAATGAACCAACACCAGCAGTTCTAATCATCAGTATAAACATTAGAAATATATCAGTCTGTGAGTAATGAATGAATGAATGTAATATACAAGTTTCACTTTTTGAATGGCATTACTGAAAGACGTCATCCTTGTCATGCTATTCTGCTTAGACGATGAGCGCCTGCATTTGCTTTATCAGCTTCTACAGTGAGAATATCTTCATGACAGTCAGCTGTATGTTTCTGGTGTGAACAGAACCTCATGAAATCTGTGATGAGGAGAATTTATCTAATGTTGTCTGGAAGATGACTCCCGCTGGAGAAACGGCAGCAGTACGCTGTCCTCCCAATGCCATGGGTGAGCATGCACACTTCCTGCACTCAGAAGGTGTCATGAGACATATCTTCAATGCTTTCATCACCTCATGTTGTATGTGTCCCTTCACAGGGCTGATCCTGCGCCGCTGCTCTCTGGATGAGGAAGGCATTGCTTACTGGGATAATCCTAGTTATATGAAATGCATTTCCAATGATTACCGCAGCATTCAGACTTTAGTGAGTTTGTTTATCTGCTTTACTTCTCGCAGCATCGCTAATACTTTACTAAAATAATTTTAGATCCAAACATGCTGCTTATGTTCTGGTCATCTTAGCAGCGCGTGACGATCTCCACAGGAATTATTCACAGAGAACTAACAGAAGCACATTTCTTCATCAGACCCGGGAACATTTATCCAGAGCACAGCGCGGCCTTGAGAAAGATGGACTTTCTGAAGTGTTGACCAAGCTGAGGGTCACTTCCAGTGATGGAACCAGCTACAGCGGGGATCTACTGGCCATCTTGGACGTTCTGAAGAACATGACAGACATCTTTAGGAGGCCAAAATACAGCCCCAGCAGTACAGACATGAGGGTAATTTTTTATTTGCTTTGTGAACTTTGGATCAACTTCTTTTGTATGTTTGCTGATTTTGAGACAGCTGATGTTCCACATCCGCCACAGACATTAGTTGTGATGTTTAAATAAATACTTTTGAAAATAACTTTAATTTACTGGATAAATTAGAATAAAATTAATCTCATTTGCAACAACACTAAACACAAATTATGTGATTTTCCGATTAGTAAAGAAACAAAACATCCTGAAATGTTGTACTTGGTAACGTTTGCAGCTTTAGGAGTTATCCTTTCAGACAGTAAAATGACCCAAGTACCGATTAGAAAATAGACTTTTAGGGGGTCAATGTGAGGTGAAAGGCACAATCACCGTATATTTGGAGGTGTTACCTGCAACTATGATTGTTTTGGTTTAAACAAAGATCAGTTTGCACAGGACTGATGTGAGTCATTTGGGTTTAAGAGGACTCACACATTTACTGTAAATTAAAAACATCAAAATAAACAAATAAAACTCAAGTCTGGTGTTCTGCAGGTTCATACGAAGTTTGACATCAGCACAGGTTTTAAATGTGTCGCATCAGTCTGTCTGCTTCTGCCTTTTAGATCATGACTGTTGTTTTAAACAGTTATTTATGGGTCATTCAGAGTTTCACATTTGAAGCACAACGTAGTTTAAAGCTTTGGTTCCAAATACACCAACTATCCAGAGAAAAGTCTCCACCTGGACTTAACCTCTTATTTATTTATTTATTTATTTATTTATTTATTTATTTATTTATTTATTTATTTATTTATTTATTTATTTGTTTGTTTGTTTGTTTGTTTGTTTGTTTGTTTTCCCCTTGTCTTGTCTGGCTGTGAAGCAAACAGAATTGATGTCTGAATGCTGGTGACAAGCCTTACAGATTTACTCTCAGGTGGAGCATCAAAGCGTCTGCTTTTAATGTCACGCCTGATACTTAAAACTTTACTGTTACTGTTTTTGAATGCTTTGTAATTCCGACCAGACACGGAGACAGAGGTGAAAGAGAAAGGAGTCTGCTTCTAGACCTGCAGAAAGAGAAAGAAGAGGAAAAAAATGGGACACACAACAATACAACAGGAGCAAGCTATCACTGCGTCAACCTGATGATGAAATATAAAATCAACATTGTTTAACTGAACAATCACAGATAATGAATCACGGTGCATTTAGTGGCAACCACAGCCTTGAGACATGTGTATAACGTGCCCAAGCCCATACTTATGAGAGCACCATGTGAGCACCTGTGTGTGTACACGCGCTTGTTTATGTAAGGTTTCTCTATAGGAGCGTCCAACAGAGAGTGTGAGGGACCACAGATCCGCCCCCCAAAGATGTGTAGGGGGGGGTCGCTCCAAGTCCCAGAGATCCAGGCGCTGCCCCAGAACACAGGAACCCCAAGGAGACTGCAACCAGAAAGGCCCCCGCCCCCCTCGAGAGGCACAGAGGATCACCCCGGGGGGCCACAACCAGCAGCGGGCAGAGCCCCGGGAGACATCAGCGGCAAGCCCACAGGCCTGCCTGCCGCCTCCCACCCCCTAGCCCGCCGAGCCCGGGACCCAGCGACCCGGGACCCAGGGTCGACCACCCCCGCCGGGGACCCAGCAGAGCCCAGGGACCCAGACCCCACCAGACAGCCACTGGGATTGATCAGGCAGACGCCAAAAATCTTAAACCCCCTGACCCGGGAGCCACGAACACTCAGTAACACCAAGGCACCACACCCCACACCAGGTGTGGCAGGGGGAGGGGAGACGAAGATCTATATCATCAAAAGAAGTCCCAGGAGAGGGGAGGAGTCAAAGGCCCCACCTGACATATACAGTTGTACACAAACACAGTCACACACTCCCTCCCTCATGCTCACACATGCACACACAACCCAAGACTTACAAAAATGCACGCCGGACACCCACTCATGCTCCCCATACACACCCTATTCACTCTGGTCCCGGTACTGCTGCACATTGGGTACAACCATCACCGGTAACCAGAGTTTGACCCTTTCTGCTGGACGTAACCTCTTAAAGCCCATGGACCCGGCACCGGGTCCTGATTTACTTCCGGTTTTAAAGTTATTCCAAAACCACGCTTAATGTTCACCATTATATGCAAACTACACATGTACATAACGGGAAGAAGCTAGTCTAAACAATAAAACGTTGTTTCCCACCTCAGCGATGCCTAATTCACACTGAGCCTTTTAATCAACCGGAAGTAAAAAACGCTGACTTCACATGTCAAGCGAAGCCTGAGGAAAACACCCAATAGCGACACTAAAATGCGATCCTATCCAGATAGCCAGCACTAGAAAACAAAGCCAAGATTATCTTCTTTCAAACAATATAAGTCGCATTTCTGTACGATAAAACCTCACAAAGCCAGCCGCGATCAAACAGAGAACAACACGGCTCCTTTTCGACAGTCAGCAGCATAAAGTCTGTCTTACCTTTGCTGATTGGTAAAAAAAAATCCACTCAGTTCATGTAATCCATTTTCCCACCGTCAAAGCGAACTCATTCCTGACTGGTTTGTCATGTTTTGCTCCCTACAGGCGAGTTAGAAGTCCGCAACGCCATCTTACCCGGTAGATTGGCTCACTCCTTGGGGAGCTCGTGGTCTTTTTGTTTAAATCTGGACGCAATAAAACAGAGCACCACCCGATGCTATTGGCTCAGAGCTTTAAGGCGTGATTTGAACCACGCAAATCGTTCAATGGGATCCTGAGATATCCTCGCACGTAACACGTCTTTGCCATGTGCGCGTAATAAGTCACGTTTTACACACGAGCGCAGGACGCACGAGGGAGTGTCTACCTTTTATTGACGAGAGGAGCTTTTTAGATAGTTTTCTGCTTTTCTCAACGTCCTATTTTTACAATGGCTGGAGAAAACGAAGTTTTTCACCACTAAAGAGGTCCTGGATATGTTTGCTGATGATGGCGGCGCTAACGTGTGTCTGGTGGATTCATCTTCTCATGAAAGGTATGTAACCCTTTTCCCTCAACTCTTTCCTTTGATTTTGTGTAAAATTACTGATAAATTTACCAAATAATATATCTTTTTTGTTATTCATGTACATAATCCGGTCTACATCAGCATGTGGGCTTATTTTGACTTTTCAAATAAGTCTCTTTTCTCTGTGTTGTTATAAATGAGTATACATTTACAACATGATTTTTTTTCATGTGTCTTTACAGTGAATAGGAGTGCCAACCACCATCACCTGGACAGGTATCCTTCACTCAGCCACAGGCATGGCCAAGCCCATCTTCTTCTGCTCCAAACCAAGGAAAGGAAAAGCCTCAAGCTCATCTTTACTAAGTAGTAACCCCAAATGTGTGTGCAGCTCTGACAGTGAGTGATTTTTACGTTTTCATGGCCAACCTTATTTTTATGTATGATAATTGTTGAGTTTTCTCTGTTTTCTTGTTGTGAAAATCTAATTTACATTTTGTTGTTAATAAATTTGCTCCATTAGGAGTCAAACTAATTCTTCTGTATGATTTTCCCTTATTTTGAAAGGATAAAATATGGTGGGTGGATTTTTCCCCAAAACCCTCAAAAACATAATTTTTTTAGATGGAAATACTTTCTAATATAAGTTAAAAATGAGGGGAAAAAGAACCTAAAGAAAATACCTGAGAACTGCCCAACGGCACAAACTGTGCCAAAAGGTGCCCAGCATGGTCCAGGAGAGGTCCGCCTTGATTTCCATCAACTAAAACCTCTCTAACTTTTCTATCCTTCTTTCTTTCATGGGTTTTGGGTCAGCAAATGTTCAGACCCTATTCTGTGGATTTCTAGATGTTTCAGGCTGCAACTAGGTATTTTAGAAGGAATTTTCACATCATAAAGTGGATTTTCTTTTAGGCGGAACAGATTTTTTTTCTCATTTCTGCAGTGTTCCAGATCCTGTTACTCTCAATCAGTGACATAAGTGATGCTTTTTAGATTTTTAGAGTAAACTTTAGAGTCTTACCTTTATTTTGATACCAAAACAGCTCAAATAAACCTTGTAGTTTATGAGATATACTCGATTCACTTTGGGTATGTCTTTTTCAAGAAAATCTCTGAAAAATGGCCCAGGGTTCAAAAGGTTAACTAAGCAGACAGGTAGGAGCCTCCTACTGGATAATTACTGCAACTAGTTATTTAACCCAACTGGTGCAATGAGCTGCTTCTCACTTCTTAAACAACCACGCTGAAAGACACATCTGGTGGAGGAGAACATGTTGGTCTGTGTGAGAAGGGTCAGATCATTGGCATCAAGCAGAGAAAACATCTGAGGAGATGCAGAAACTGGTTTCAGAACTGTTTGTTTATGTTTTTTTTACTTGACAGACGCTTTTATCCAAAGCGACTTACAGTTTATAACCTATAGGGCATGTTGTGATCTGTGGGGGAAACCGGAGTACCCGGAGGAAACCCACGCATGCATGGGGAGAACACGCCACTCCACGCAGAAAGGCTGCAGCCGAGTTTCGAACCTGCAACCTTCGTGCTGCGAGGCAACAGTGCTAACCACTGCGCCATCATGCAGTCCAAATACTGTCCAACACTTTATTTAAACTGGTCTGATGAGTCCAGATGGACCCTGGTCCAGGGTGATGGATCAGGGTAAGAAGAGAGGCAGGTGAAGTGATGCACCCATCATGCCTAGTGCCTACTGTACAAAACTGTGGGGGAAGTGCTATGATCTGGGCTTGCTGCAGTTGGTCAGCTGTAGGTTCAGCAACAGGACATGAGCCAGGGCAGGTGGTCCAGCAAAGTGTTGACGCACAGGATCCTTCAGTATTTTGCATTAGGCATCGTAATTTTAGGCCCTGGAGGGAGGAGTCTGTGGAGGATGGTTTTTAACGGACTACAGGCTCCTGCTAGATGGCATCAGATAGAAGAGGTCTGGTGGCACCAGCTGGTTGTTCCTCAGCAGGTGGAGAGATGCGGTTAGAAAGACTAAGGTCAGGGAAGGGGCGGAATCAACAACAGAAGCTCTTCTAAGGCCATGGACCACAACCTCTGACCAAGATGAAGATGGGTCAGGAGTAGAGCTGGAGGTCGTTGATTGTGGTGCAGCAGTATCCCAAGCAAGGGTGTTTTGGAGCAGAGGGTTCTGCATGGATGTCTTTTTTTAAATTTGACTGATAATGGTCCTGGTGAGTGAAGGAACATGATTTCTATCCAGCAGCATTTCTTTCTTCTGCAGTTAAAGTTACTTTCCAGAGTTTTCTACTTTCAGAAATTATATATGATTTGTCAGAATTCTGTAAAAGTGATGGTCTTATCCTGTACTGTGATATAATGTAAGTAATATGTCTTTTATTTTTTCTGAGGGCGCCCCCTGCCCTGCAGAGCTCTGTGCAATAGGAAACTTGAGATGGGAGGGGGGTTGGTTCGCTGGAGTTTTTGACAATTAATATTGCACCCACATTTTCTAAGTTAACACGTCTCTTTTAACAACGGTAGTTTCTGCTTCAGCCCTCTCCCCCCCTCCCCCCATGCAGCGGCATAAACTTACTGATGCGCCTGCAGCCTCTCGGAGTTCCTGCTGCTCTAAACATTAAAATAATTATTTCATTTTCTGTTCCTCACTTCTGATTACCTTCAGTGGTGTCTGTCTGTTGCAACCAGCAGGTACAAAACTAACTTGTTTTTATTTGACAATTTTTCTGTCCTGCCTGTTTATTATCTTCCTGCATCTCCTCTCAATCCTAAAGAGAAACTGCTACCTGGGTTCATATATATTCACCTTATGAGTTACCTTTGAACTGCAGTTCTAAAAGATCTACCGACCGCTAAAACAGCCGAGTGCTCGCTGCGCACCGTCCACGCCGGTGTGATGCATCACTGGAGGACAAAACAGATGATGCGCCCCGCTCCACAGCAGCGAAATGCATCAGACACAAATAAAAGAATAAAAGACCGAAAACATAAAAGGAAATGAGCCGACATGAACGATCGCGTGTTAAATTTTCTTTTGAGTGGCGACACCTGATTTGATAATGTTACTGTGGCCGTGCTCAGGACGCAGATGTCTGGAGCGCATCAGTGATCAGAGCTTTGCATGCGCAAGCTGGTTAAGGATATGATGGGGTGAGGGGAAGGTTAAATTGCAAGAGGGTAAAGGTCACAATTTGGTTAAATGTCCGTTTTACCGCGGGCGTCAGTACGACGCTCTGGCACAGCGCGTCGCCACGCCACACGCAGGGTCTTGTCACCTGCTGTCTTTTCCGAGGACTGCATCTTGCCGGTCATTATCACGTGACAGCGACTAGTCGATGACAGGCATAAAAAGTCACTACAGAGCAGTGAAGTCGACTAGTTGATACAACCCCTAGTGCCGACCAGAGCTAACCAATAGCATTAGACTAACGCTTACTTGCTTCAAATTTAAGCAATACTTCAGCTGATGCAGAGTTGATGAAATTTTCACGGACAAGTAAGTCTCTACAATATAAATATGTGAGAACATGACATGACATGAGAATAATACTTGTAAAACAACATATTTTAGCTGTTTGTCGGCTACAGAAGCCCATTTATTAACAGAAATGTGAAGTTGCCATCTTAATAAAAAACAGAGCAACATACTTTATGTGTAATATGCTTTTCAGCCACTAGATGGTGCCATTGGACAAGAGAAATACTCCGGAAAGAGACTTTAGGTAGAGAGTTGTCGTAAATCCTCTTTAAGGTTCTGATTCCTTTTATTTGGTTTTGAAAACCTACACTCACCTTAAGGGTTATTAGGAACACCTGTTCAACTTCTCCTTAATGCAATTATCTAATCAACTAATCACAGGGCAGTTGCTTCAATGCATTTAGGGGCGTGGTCCTGGTCAAGACCATCTCCTGAACTCCAGACTGAAGGTCAGAATGGGAAAGAAAGGTGATTTAAGCTATTCTGAGTGTGGCATGGTTGTTGGTGCCAGATGGGCCGGTCTGAGTATTTCAAAATCTGCTCAGTTACTGGGATTTTCACCCACAACCATCTCTAGGGTTTACGAAGAATGGTGTGAAAAGGGAAAAACATCCAGTATGCAGCAGTCCTGTGGGCCAAAATGTCTTTATGATGCTAGAGGTCAGAGGAGAACGGGCTGACTGATTCAAGCTGATAGAAGAGCAACTTTGACTGAAATAACCACTCCTAGGTGAACCAAGTGAAATTCAACCCGATAGAGCATCTTTGGGATGTGGTGGAACGGGAGCTTCGTGCCCTGGATGTGCATCCCACACATCTCCATCAACTGCAAGAGGCTATCCTATCAATGTGGACCAACATGTCTAAAGAATGTTTTCAGCACCTTGTTGAATCAATGCCACGTAGAATTAAGGCAGTTCTGAAGGCCAAAGAGGGTCAAACACCGTATTAGTGTGGTGTTCCTAAATACTCCTTTAGGTAAGTGTATACCGGTCATTGTGGTGCAGAAGGAGAGCATATGCTGTGGCTGAGCTGCCTCTGTTGGATAAAAAAGATTGTAGTCCAAAAAAAGTCCAAGGAATCAAAAATCACAGGAATCTAAGAAGGTCTAACAGAATCCACATAGTCCAGTAATTGGTGAAACAAGCAGGTTTTGAAAGGAATTAAAGAACAAAAGTTGGGAGCTGAGACAGACCTGTCCGAAGGCTTTTTATCTCCTAAAGTACACTTTGTGGAATAAAGATATACAAAAAGATGTGTTTTTTAAAAAAAAGCATTTATGTAGAACGGACTAATTTCCATTAATTCTTTCTCATTTTTCCAGAACTTTGTGCAATCAGTTAGCAATCTTTTAATGGAGGAGAACCAGGAACGATGGGAGGAAGCACAGCTGGTGAGTTTCAGTCGTATTGCTTGTCACTTCATCCTCTGTTGAACTTTGAGTTCAGTGATAACAACCCTGAAGTTTATGAGTGGAAAAAGGTGAAAAGCCAGGTGGACAAACAGCCCACCTGTGTCTTTTCAGGCTGGGAAGAGGAGAAAGGACAGACAAGCAGGGATGGAAATAGCTAGCTAATGAGCAAACAAGTCAAGGCAAACGCCCACTCCTACATCTGCTGCTCCCACTTGTTCATTCCTGTCTGTATCTCAAACCAGCTACCCTCTCAGGGCCGTTACCATGCAGGTGGAATAACAGAATGAAAAAACCAACCTGGAAACACTTACGCACAAATGCACAACTCAATTATCCCAACCCTGCGTGGTAACAGGGCTGCACAGAGGCGCAGTTCCTTCAGCAGCCAGCAGGGGACTTTCAGGGAGGAGCCTCAATACCTGTGTTACTCTGACAGTTTTAACCTGGGTTCATCCAGGTGTGTGTGTGTGTGTGTGTGTGTGTGTGTGTGTGTGTGTGTGCGTGTGTGTGTGTGTGTGTGTTTGTTTCTTTCCTAATTTTGTGACTTGAATATTCAGTTAATGAGGGAAAAACTGAGTTGAAGAATGCAGTTTTGGAATTGATAATCAACCTGCAATGGACACATAGCAAAGTGGACGTGTTATTCAATCCTGCAATGTTTTTACTGAATTAATAAATCAATGTTATGCACAGTTTTGTGCAAACCATAAGTTCTAATGGTGGTCATAGCTTCATGAGCTTCATTTACTTTCTCAGGTTCATAGTGGTAAAGTGTCCGCCCTGGGACTGAGAGATCAGGGTTCAAATCCCGTTCGGGTCATACCAAAGACCTTAACAATGGGACCCAACACCTCCCTGCTTGACACCAGCTTTACAGGGTTGGATTGGGGGGTTAAACCACCAACTAGTTCCCGAGTGTGGCAACAGATGCAGCTCACCATTCCCCACGGGGATGGGTCACATGCTGAGATATAATGTCACTAGTGTGATGATGACTATGGGACTTTGAGTCTCATTAAAGTCAAGTTAAAGACACTCAAGAAGCAACATTGTGACAATGGTTGCCTCTACCTCAGCTCATCTATCTGAAAGGCTTTTTATGTGTACATCAGTTCAAAATATTCCTCTGAAATCCATAATCCTTGGTCTTTCATACTTATCTCATGTGTTTCTGTTTTCTCAGCTGGGGCCTAACATCAAAGAGCTTTTCCGCTTGATGGAAGACTTTGTGAACGTGATTGGTGAGAGGATGAAGGACTTCCAAGACATGTATGAAGTCACCGATAACCTAGGTAAGCCTTACCCTCATCTGGGATGCATCTATTTATCAAAGACATGCTCTCCTCTGAGCTTTCTATCACATGTAACGTGAGGAAGTATGGGTATGGGTATGGGTCTTTAACAGTGATCACAGTAGAACATTATTTATGCACATTGCAAGAAGACCCGTTTATCAGGTTTTGCATTGAAGACCGCCTGTCTTGTGAGATCAGTCCTACTACATATGTTGGTTTTTATGTTCTCATAAATATTTGTATTTACTACAAGTGCGCGGACACAAAAGGTGTTTGTCAGGTCAAGTTTTGTTCCAGTTGCCTATTTCTGATCAAAAAGTCCTGGTTCTCTAACGTTTGATACAGACCTTGTCATTCAGTACCGGGTTTGAGTGTTTGACTCCCTTTCATCATGTACTGAGGTCACTGTTGGTCATCTTGATGAGAGTGTGAACCCCAGAGGATGGAAACAATACCACCGCACTGACCAACCAACTGTAAGCCAAAAATAAGTGAGACATGCACTCACTGATTCACCTGTACAGGATGAACAGCAAAGACCTTGGGATATTGTTTGGACAGAAACATGTGTGTGAATGATTTCCAAGAAATGCAAAGTGATCACAACTGAAGGAGTGGAACCATCCAAAGGCAACACTGCAGACATTTGGGGCAATTACAAGTACTTTGGGATACTACAATTACATTACTATGAAGCAACCAAGTTTCTTTAAAAAGTAAGGGAGGTTCTGAAGAGCCATGTGAATGATAAGAACAAAGTACAAACCATTAACAAATATACACTGCCCTTCACTGGATACCCAGCTGCTCTAGCCTGGTGTGCCTGGTGAAAGGAACCACTGATGTCAAAGCAAGAAAGTTCCTCACAATGCATGGAGGGTTTCACCTCAAGTTCAGAACCCTGAGACAGGACATGAACCGCTGAAACAGCACCACTGAGATCACCACCAGTGAGTTCTGTTGCTGAGTTAAGTGAATGTCTCAGGTAGCAGTTACCCAATGTGGAAGCGGATGAGGAGCATGCACCAGAGACAGATTAGGGCAGTGGTTGGTATTTACAAATCCCACCAGTGGCCAGAAAAGACTGGACAAAAGATGGAGGCACTGACTATACGGCACAAACATAGGCCCTCAGAACAAGATCAGCAGATGTCAGGGTTTCCACACCAGACAGGAACCATGATGTAGACTGGAAAATAAACACCCCTTACACATTTCAGCACATGACAATAGGGTGTAAGATGCAAGCAGGCCAAACTTGCATGGAACATTGTCGCTAAGTGGCTGAAGTTGTTTACAAAAAATATCTGAGCTCAGTGCGGGATGGAGGTGGTTGGGAATGACTGAACAAAGATAATGTCAGGAAGTGATGACTAAACAACCAGACACCACGATGGTCAACAAGCTCCAGTGGTGATACAAGCAGTAATCCCAAGTGACCGAAATATGAGAAAGAAGGAAAACAGGAAATGGGAGAAAAGACAGTAGATGAAAGATGAATTCAGATTCTGATTCATTTATTAATGACCACACAACAAGTTGGTAGAATTTGTTTTCACTACAGCATGGCATGCTCACATCTCACATCTCTGTCTTCACACAACAGTCTACATTCAATGGCAGGAACACAGACATTTCAGGTAAAGACTTGATTTAGTAACCGTACAGCTGTAGGAAAGAAACTGTTCCTGAATCTAACTGATAGGGACCTGTACTGTCTTCCAGAAGGCAGCAATATAAACAGGTGGAATGCCAGGTGTGAAGGATCAGAGATGAATTTCCCCGCCCGTTGTGTAATGCGTCTTTGATATAATGAGTCAATGGAAGGAAGGGTATGACCTGTAAATTTGGATGATTTATCTATTGTACGTTGTATTTTTTTTTCGTGATTGTGAGTCCAAATGACCATACCAGACAATTATCGATCAGAAGAGTATGCTTTGGATAATGACATTGTAAAACTGAAACAGGACATTGTGCCTGACTACATTTTTTTTGTTGTTGTCTAAGGAAGAATAAACGTTTATTTGCTTTTTTGTAAATTTGATCTGCGTGCTTTTTCCATTTAAGGTCATCAATGATGAGTGTATCTAGAAATTTGTATGACTCTGTGATTGTAATGGGTTGGTTGGAAATTGAGATGGGTATCTTGTGTGTGGGAGAGCGGGAAAAGTCAATTGTGAGTTCCTGTGTTTTTAATGTGTTGAGCTCTAGGTTGTTGGAGAATTGGAGACGTTGTGGATAATTAAGGCCTCAATACTGTTATTGGTCATCAGAGCACTCAGAGCTGTGACCATCAAACTGGGAGAGTGGCTCCATCAGATCCCAGGAGCATCCTGGAAGGTCTCTGACCAGAAGAGCACAGTTCTGTTCCTAATGTAGGAAACTTTTTACTCATTGTCGTAGTGAACTGACCTGTATTGGAATGTTTATTATGTGAAGTGCCTTGAGACGACTTGTCGTGATTTGGTGCTGTATAAATAAACTTGAATTGAATTTAATTGAATTCTGGAGCGACAAGGAGTCTATTAGAGAGCCTTGGTTTGAAGTGAATGTAGAAAACAGGCTAGTCTTTGAATTTGTTTTTGTTTGTTTTGTCCTTTTTTTCATTTTAGAATGACTGCATCAATACTACAATACACAGTACAGTAACAACTGTGAAAACGTACCAGTTAAATCATCCACCCAATACTGAGTAAGTTCTCCTGTTACTGCCACAGCAGTGCTGACCTCTGACAGAAAAGAGTTCCACCAGACCTCGGAGGTCTGCTGTAGTTTATTACACTATGTTTGCAGAAAATCCTTCAGGATCTGAATCTTGGTAAATGGGTCTCTGTGGATCCTACTATTTGTACAGTGCTTCCCACAGATATTGGATTAGATTAAGTCAACGGCTCTGACAATTCTTCAACCCATTCTGTTTCAGAAATACTGTTAGCTGGGAGGTTGTCATGACAGGTTGCACTTGGACTAAAACGTTTAGGGACGCATCAACAACACAGCAGATTTCAACGTTTGCCCAAGGCATAATGATACTTCAATAAACCAGCCTGGTGTCATATTGTAAAGAGCTCAGAAGGCCTAATTATTGTTTGTTATATAAAACATTACAAAATTGCAAAGTTTGTTATAAAATGAGATCCAACCTGGGTATCTCAAAGCTTTGGATATTATAGGACTGTCTTGGTTGTCACGTCTTTGCAACATTGTGTGGTCATCGGTGGCAGTTCGTATGTAGTGGCAGACCGGGTTGGTGATCCCAATTTATAAAAAGGGACCAGAGGCTGTGTTCCAACTATAGAGGGGTCACGCTCCTCAACCTCCCGGGAAAGGTCTACTCAAGGGTACTGGAGAGGAGGGTCTGGTTGATCGTTGAATCTCAGAAAGAAAGAAAACAATCTTTTATTCAGCACGTCTCCAAATAAAAATCATGAGGCTCTTCCCCAAAGCAAAACAAAAATTGAAGTATAAAAAAGAAAACAAAATGATTAAAAATGTCTTCAAAATAAAAATAAATAAATTCTGAATTAAAAAAAAACGTAAGGAAAGGGAGAGGAATAAATGAATAGGAAAGAGGGAAATCAGTGGATCCTGGAAAAGGTGGAACAGGAGCAGAACAAAGGGTGGTGACGGTCACGCAAACGCCAGCCTGAACAGGCGAGTGTTCAGCTGCTTTTTAAAGGAGACAACTGAGTCCACTGATCTCAGGTTCAGGGGGAGAGAGGTTCAGAGTCTGGGGGCCACAGCAGCAGATGATCTGTTGTTGCCATTCCCCACATGCCAAAGACAGGGGCAAGAAACGGGGTCAAAAGGTGGGCCACAGAGATAAGATTGGACCCACACTGAAACACACTGAACTTGCTTATGCGAGTAAAATCAGCCAGAAGACAGGAGCCCAACTGCACAACAAGCATCCAAGCTGGGACAAAAGAAGATCAACTGAAGATAAAGCATCTCAGAAGTGGGCAAATCCTTCATGAAGAATCCAAGGGATCAGAATTTGCTCCTGGGAGTGAAATTGGGCAAAAGGTCAAGAAGTGTCTGACTCAACCATCAGCAGGAGAAGTGGGACTGAAGGAGACAGAGTGAAAGAGCTCATCAGGTGACGGAAAGGCCTTCATGGAGAATGCTGGACTTCGGAAGAAACTTAAGATCTGCTGCAAAGATGACACCAAATGTCTTGTGTTGAGCTAAAAAGCCTTCATAAAGAGCCCTGGACTTCGGGAGAAGCTGAAGAACAGTTGCAAAACATGACACTAATAGACACTAATGACACTAGTTGAGCTAAAAAGTATGAAACTGATGAATGACCCCATGACCTTGCTGTCGTGTGGTAATGATGGATGTGTAACTGGAAAACATTTACCTTGTCTAGGATGTTCCCAAGAAGAGTATAAAAGAGGAGCTAGAAGCAGAGCTCACACAGTTTTGGGGCAGTCGACAGAGACAGAGCAGAAGCAGTAGCTTGAAGACAAAGTTGATGTAAGCCAACTCAGTATTCTTAATTAATCATTAGGATTAATTACTCCGTGGGGGTAGTGATCAGTTTTATATCTACCCATTTTTTGTATTTTTTTATCTTGTAATAAACTTTTTGAAAAAGAATCCACATTCCTGATTCTTCCAGGTCTTTTTTAAAGGTTAAGGTGGGAGCCTCGACCTATCTTAAGGAGAGGTAAGCACATTAATTACAGGTTCCTGATTCATCAGGATTTGCCTTACGGTTTGTGACAGATTAATAAAAGAAACCTTAAGATAAAGAAGCTTGTCTTCTCCTCTCCCGCGAGTAACGAGATGTCTTAAGGATGAAAAGCCAAAACATTAGTAGGTTAAATTAGGCTCTGTTTGCAAGTGTGAAAAAGTCTCCGCCAGCGCTGGGAAGGTTGGATTAATTAGATAAATTGATAAATCTATGTTAGCCTGATCAACTAACAAGAATCATTTTCTAGTTACCACCGCCCACAAAGCTGACAGAGGCACAAATTAATCCTAATAAC